TAAAGAGGCCCCGTCCAACAAGACTGGCGGTGACCTTGTCGATCAAAACAAGCATAAAATATAAATGCAATAAAAAGAGTTCTCCTCAAGCTCAACTATCCGGCTAATCATTTTCATAGAAAGGGTCTCCAGTCACAAAGCCCCTCTTCTTCACTAGCGCCAACAAACAATGATATTTGATTTCCCAATCCTCAGAATCTATATTTCCCACTTCGGCCTCTTCTGCTGGGACCTTGTCTTTATTTGCTACCTGGGCTTTGATTGTTGTCAACTCTTTCATAACCTGAGTCAAGCGAACATCTTTCTCTCTCAACTTTTTCTTTAACATCTTAACTTTCTCACAATGCTTAGCTTCCAATTCCTTTTTAGCCAATCAAATATTTTCTATCTCTTGATGACTAGCCTGTAGCTCTTCAACCTGTCGACTGGTAGTATCAGAACCCTCGACCCTAGGTCTTTTCGACCGCTCAAGAAAACCATGTTTTTCTAGCAACTGGTTCTTCAGCTTAACCTCTTTCATGAGCTTCTTCTTGTCTTGCAAAGAAAATGACATAATCCACATTCATTTCTTCCTGTCTAGCCTGGAGTTTGAGGTTTTCGGCCTTGACATTCTTAAAACACGTTACAGGCACGAACTCTAATCTTTCTGTGACAGGCTGCATAGGAAATGAATCAATACGGAATAAAGAATTGTCCGCCTGAGCATCCATTAATGGATCAAAATAAGGTTCAGGATATAGAAACTTCCCCTTTTTATAAGGTAATCACACTTCCCTCACAAGATCCTGAATCCAGCTCATATAAGTATCATAAGCTACACTTCCATTCTGGCTGAAAGAAAGTTTCCCTTTACAGCGAATATGTCCCCATGCTATCTTCACTTTTTCAAGCAACACTGCATCTTCCCCCTTACCGAAATAAACAGTATCCATCACCTCCCGCTCATCGGGTCTATCCAACATCGCGAATCCTAATTGACGGCGTGCCAGGATAGGGTTATAATCAATGCACCCCCTTGTCCCCATAAGCGGGACATTAGGGAATTCTCCACACCCTATAATGATCTCTTTCAAACCTATCACACTTTGCCAAACAATATCATACGAGGTGAGTCCCATGATACGTTGAGACCATAAAGATGAATCGGTAGTATGAACAAAAGGCCCTTTTGTAGGCATATGCATCATCAACCACTTATAAAGCGTGATCGCACAACACATGACTTCCCCTTTCTTCCCATGTCTGGAATGGATGGTGTAATAAGTGTCGGCAAGTAGAGTTGGTATGGGGTTACCGTTCATGAAGACACATAATGCGGATAGATGTACCAACTTCTCGGATACTGGAAAGAGGACCAAACCATAAATCATTGCTTCCAGCAGTGCATTAAATGCGGACCAATTCATGTCATTCGCAAAACCCTTGGCCTTTGATATCAAGTAATTCAGAGGGAGACCGCTCGTGCCACTTTTGTTAATCCAGTTACTCTTAACTTCACCATGAGTCAAATAAAGAGCTCTGGCGATCGCCATATAGTCTGGAGTCTCTGGTTCTCGAACAAAAGGAATATCATTGGTCACCTTGACATCCATATTGTGTGCATATTCTTCGAGAGTTGGTGCCAATTGATAGTCTCGGAAAGTAAAACAGCATAGTTGCGGATCATAAAACTGAAGAAGTGTTCTCACAGCCCATTCTTCAAAATCATAATTTCACCAACGGCAATAAGTTTCCATATTGTCCTCTGAAAACTTTTTCATTTGGTCCCTTTGCAAGAGCTCCCACCTCTCGCAATCGACCACCAAAGCATGGAAACTGATAAGCAGCAGTGTTTCTAAGAGGCTCTGAGCTTGTCTCTATGTTGTTATCCATCTTTGATGTTGATGACAAACCTCAGAACAATCCTGGAAATGAAATGCAAATGCAAGTTAGGCAGTTATATATTTTTTTGCGTTTCTTTTATAAAATAAATATGTCATGACGCAAGTGCAATAAACATAAGATCAAAGTTTCTGCAATGTTGGATTGCTGCTGAACTGCTAACAAAACCACTGTTATATGTAACACGATCAAAGGTCTGGACCAATTCGGAATATCAAGGAACAAAGTCATCAGTATAATCAGAGTCACCAATGGAACATGTATAGTCACCATTTGTACCTGTAAAGATTATTCCCTCCCCACTCACGGGTAAAGACTAGGTCATGTTAAGGTCAATGGTAACTCATAATCGAGGGTACTCCTGAAAAACTATCGCCATATCACCTACGTGAAAATGATAGCCCCTCATTTGTACCTCATCTGAGCGTGGACGACATGGCGGCATAGTGAAACCTAAGTCAACTAGCCATTCATGTTCCACTCTATTTCTAGTATTCCTATGGTTTCCATTTGGCCTGGGTATTGGGCCTTTTACCTCATAGTAACATCCCACCCATCAAGAAACAGAGAAACCAATATAGCAACAATATAACAAATAACAATAAAGATGCAATGAAAACATATGCTCAAACATATACAAATGAATAATCCATAAAAGCATAATGATAAACACCCTAAGAAGAGAAAAACGGGAGCTAGAAGTGACTCACAGGATGGACCAGCAATTGGTCGACATATCAATCCCCAGTGAAGTCGCCATTTTTATGTAGCGGTAAAATCAATGAAGTCGCCACCGAGTATTTATTTATCCCATATGAAAGGGAAAGGAAAATCATCGAAGAAAAACCTAAAGGGGGAAATCAAGGTCTTGCGACCGAGAGATTGGGTAAGGGAGTCGATTACGCGAGGGGAAGGTATTAGCACCCCACGCGTCCATAGTACTCTACGGGATCCACTCTCGTTATTCTAATCAAAGGGTGTGTTCAATCTAATGCTTAAGGGTTGTAAACTAAGAGGGAATGCATTCAAAGAAACCACGGGGAAAAGAATGTAGGGAAAATAAAGTTGTACTCGCTTGGGCCCTACCCCAATGCCTATGTATCCTTTTTGGGGAATCAGAGCTACCGTAGTTCGACTCATATATTTTGTTAGTTTGTATTTTTTTAAATGAACAATGTTGCATTTGATCATTCCACCACTGCTCGACCTTTGGAGACTTATGACCTGTAGTGGAAAGGAGCTAACATGCTCTTAGAAGAGAAAAGTCGAATGGCGAAAAGAAATGGATTGGTTGGTATATTTTTACCATGAAAAGAATTTTTGTTTGATTAGCATTTTTATACATTTGCCAAGAAAAGGAAGTTTTAGTTTTAAGTGCAATTATGCAAATAATGGGAAGAAAATAGTCTAAGGGAGACTAGACTATTTCTAACCTAATGTTATCATACAAAAGTATCCCTACGTCAAGGATGAAAGGGAAATTTCTACCTAATGTTAGCATGCATGGTTTGCAACCTAAGGTCTAACTCGCATCCGAACGGAGCAAGCGCATCCTAATGGAACATGGTATGTACAAGGATAAAGCAAACAAGCCCGTAAACTCAAGAGAGAACACCTGAAGATCCTATCTAGGTTAGCATGCTAAAGAAAGTCTAACAAAACTATCCTATAGGGAACATGCAATGAGAGCGAAGTCGTGATCTCAATTTTTAAATTGAGTGACTCATCGATCAACAAGAAATAAAGGAAAGCGATAAAATCCTATAGGGAGCATGCACTGAGAGCGAAGTCGTGATCTCAATTGCTAAATTGAGTTACTCATAGATCAACAAGAAAGGGAACAAACACAAGCACAACACATATAAGAAATGAAGTGCGGAATGCCTGCTACAGGTCTTTAAATAGAGACTTCGAGCGCACGCTCTTTATTTCCAACTTCTTACGATATCTAGAAAGCAATAAATGTGGAAATATAACTTGGAAGCATTATAATACCAAACGAACAATGATGTCCGCAAAAAGTGCAACCAAAGTAACAAAATCCGAGATAATTCACGCGAGCTGACATTAACAAACAAACAGTCAGAGATCGAATATTCGGAATAGGTGTCGAAACTTCATCGATGTGAAAATAAATCACCATCGGAATCCAAAAACACATCCGCATATCCTGCATAAAACTCGAATCTCAACAAGCAAAGGTGAGTTACAAATCTCAAGTAATCGGGTAATCAAGATTTAATTCCTAAAACTATATAGAAAAAACTAACAAATTTTATATTGATTTTACAATTTTTTTTAACATAAAAAATAATATATATATATATATATATATATATATATATATATATATATATATATATATATATATATATATATATATATATATAACTACAAAATAAAATCCTAAATCCAATAAAAGAATATATGAGAACTAGAGGGTGGAAACTAATTTCAGATGGTGTAAGCTAGTAATCAGGCGCTAGGGCCCAATCTAAAATGTCCAAAAGCCAATTTGTGTTCACTTGTATCAGGCTAAAAAAAAGGATGATGTGGACATATAGGGTTTTGCATATAGAAATTGTCCCAGGCCCATGCACATGATTCCATCATTCCAATTCCCATATGCCAGCATATTTTTGTCTAATTTCTATTAATCAAAAATAAATAAATAAAGCAAAATGATAAGAGAAAACTGATGAAACGACATTTAGTAAAGAGATAGGGTTTTTTTGTGTGACTATTCAGCTTCTCCTTCCTTCTCCTTTGCGAACGGTGCACATCATTCTCCGCCGCTCAACCTCTTCTAACTGTCACATGGCGCCGATCTTTTATCGACCTCTCTTCTCCTTCCTTGATCAAATGGTCTGCAGCTTCACCGTATTCCACTCACTGTCTCTGATTCTCACAATGGCTTCGTGGATTCCGTTATTCTCTCCTCTCATCAATCTTAATTCAAACCCCAACCATTTTCTTTTTAATTTTTCTCTAATCTGCCTACATCTAACGCGAAACAGAGAAACTCTAAAACTCTTTGGAGCATATTTAAACGATGATTATGCAAGACTTTAGCGCAAACACTTGGGGAAGAAGCTTAATAGGTCATAAACTACATCTTGATGACAGGGAATCATGAAGATAGGAAGTATCAGAGAAGATTCGGTGCTTACCTTCAACATTTTCGGAGATGTGCAAAAGCGAATACCAGAGGAGAGAATTTGGCTCTGATTACAGGTATATATCCTTTCTACTATTCTTCTTCTGTGACTGCCTCCTTGACTGTGTTTTGGTGCAATTAAGTGTTGTTGTTGTTGAATTATCGACACAGTAAAGGTGATGCGTGAAGATTGTTGAGGACGATATGGTGATGATTATTTAATGGAGGATGGAAGAGCGATGAAATTTGAAGAATGGACTTGTCGCGATCGAATCTTGAAGTAATCACAGAATTCTCGATGAAGATGCTACATGTGGTGAAGTTGTATGTAGAGAGAAACAGAACAATGATGATGATCAAGGATTCAAGCAGAGAGTAGAGATGCGTCCAGTTTTGTTGGTGATTTCTATGAGATTTGAAGAGTGCAGAAGGCTGAGAGATTGAAGATGAAATGCTGAGGGAGAGTGAAGAAGTTATTGTGATAGTGATGAAGAGAGCAGAGAGCAAGCTTTTTTGTGTTTTTGGTGATTCTTTTGAGAATTCAAGAATGGTGTGAATATGATGAAGAAGATGAGAAGAATGAGAGAGTATGGTGAGGAAGAAAAATGGAGGGGAAAGTGAAGTTTGAGGATTCTTCTGCAGAATTTTAGAATCCCCTTACTGGTGAGTTTTTCCTGTTTTATATTTCTGTTATTGCTATCATCCCTCAATCCATCCCCCTCAATTATTTTATTAGCATCTTGTTATAAACCAGTAGAAATTATGTTATATCAGAATTGACTTTAGCCCCTGATTTTGATTTTCGGTTATCCGATCCAATGGATGAGACTCATCTGATATAATATTAGGTAGGGTTGTTATGCCAGTTAGAGATTTGGATCAGTAGCTGCAATAGATTTCTGTTATGACAGTTAGGAATTCAGTTGAAAAATCAGTTAGAGTTGTTATAGTTATTTCTGATTTACTTTGAGTTTCCTTATCCTCTATTTATCAGTCTTATTTTCTTATTATTGACAGCTGCTGTTCCATATCAAAATGGTACGTTGATCAGGCTTCTGGGTGAATTTCAAATATGCTAATAAAGTTGGGCTCAGATCCACAGCCAATTTGCAGAACTCCTCAAATGCCACAAATGCTAGCTTTGGATGCTGTTTTTTGTGGTAATAGTTATACCGTAACACGGCTGAGTGCACATGCTTTGAAACTCTCTACTGTTGAGATAATGGAGGATCATCACCAGTAGGTACATTTTGACAGTATGCTTGCTTTCTTCTTCATTTTTAGATGAAAAACTATAGAATTGCCTGCACCTATATCTGGCTTCTTATGTTTGAACTGGTTTGTTGTGTTTTTAGCTAATCAGTTTTACAGGGATGCATATGAATTTACTCACTTTTCTCTCCTGTGTTTGCAGCACGACATACCCCTGATATTCATGTGAGCTTGTGCCAATAGATTGAAATAGGGCTGTTGTTTTGGAATAAGTTCCTGTAATGGTACATAGGGAGTTTCGAATGAAGATAAACGCTTCAAATGGTGGAAATTGTGAAGACTAGGAAAAAGACTTTAGGAATTTTTATGTTTCTTTTGTAACTTTCTTGTAACTTGGTAATGAAATAACTTGATTTTGTGTAATGAATCATGGTAGACTTGCTTGGGTTTCTAATAGAATTTGAATGGACTTGATCATACATGGATAATTCTTGATGAAACTTTGTGATTTTGAATCACTTGAGTTTGGAAAATCATGATGAACGACATTCGAACTTGAATCTCAAACTTTACATAATGATATACACTGAGAAAAACCACATGAATCCACCTTGTAACTTTTGTAAGCAAACTTGAGTGAAACTTGTCTTTTGTTTCCATACTTCAAAATCCCATGAAAAGTTCAAAAAAAAATTTTGCAAATTCCCTCAAATCTTTATGAAAACATGAATGGTACTTTTGGAAGACCTTGTAAATGGAACAAATCTTGAATCAACTTGAAATCCAATGAAGTTTCTTGAGCGAATCTTCAGGTCATCCCCGAGGACCTCAATTCAAATCTTCAATTCAGGGTAACCTTGATTTAAGGAACCTTAATCTTCAATCGTATCAAAAATTCAAGAAATAACCCTCCACCTTCATAGCTTAACAACAAAGAACAACCCTTGATTGTATGAAAGTCTCAGATACTTCTTCAACCATCTTAAATGGTGAGAACTCGTAATGAGGAAGGAATAATGATCATGTAGACTCAAAGAGAAAACCTAACACAATGAATCATTTTTTAATAATCAACATCCATGCTTAGGCACAATTATAAAAGAAACCCTAAATCAATGGACCTCGAGTGCATACGGATGGAGAAGGCTTGAGATGGCAAGAGGAACAAAACCTAGCTCAATGACATTCTTAGATAATATATGATAAAGTCTCAAGTACACAGGTTGAATCCCAAAGCACATATTCTTCGAAGAAAGCTCTGATGAAGAAAAAAATTATATCTTGAGGAACCCTGCTAGTGAAGACGTCTATGTTGCTTGAGATCCAAAACCCTAATCTCATACCAAGAATAATGGGAGCACCAGTTGGATCAATGTTGAGTAAGACAGCAGCCTCGATTCATAGATAGAAACCCTAATGCCAAAGCTCTTCGATCCTGTAACCATGGGACCAATGTTATGTTTTAAATGTACAAAGTATGATGAGGGATCTTAGGGGCAAAAATTGGGGTACAACAATGTCACAATCCCTTTACGGCAAGACTCTGCTTCAACTATACAAATAACATGGCAGAATACGAAACGTGCATTTTTGGTCTCAAAGCTGCCATAGATTTGGGGATCAAGTCCTTAAGTGTATTCAGAGATTCAGCTTTGGTCATCATCCAGATTAAAGGGGAATGGGATACCAAACACCCTAACCTCATCCCTTATAAAGAAAAAGTGTTGAAATTGATCCCACACTTTGAGAAGATTACCTTCGAGCATTACCCGCGAGAAGAAAATCAATTAGCGGATGCGCTAGCCACAATGTCATCCATGTTTAAACTCAATTGGGATAACGAGGCTCCCCAGCTCACCATTGAACGAATGGATGAACCAGCTCACTGTCACGAGATTAATACTGAATAAATAATGGACTGGCCTTGGTTCTATGAAGTTAAGAGGTATCTCGAGGCTCAAGAATATCCGGAAGAAGCTTCAGTCAACGACAAGAAGTTCTTAAGGAGATTCTCGGCTAAGTTCTTCCTTAGAAATGGCATTCTCTACAAACGCAACCACGACTCTGTATTGCTTCGTTGCATAGATAAGACTGAGGCACAAAAGATCATTGTTGATCTGCATGAAGGAACTTTTGGCACCCGTTCCAGTGGGCATAAAATGGAAAAGAAAATCCCACGGGTAGGTTATTACTGGTTTATCATGGAAGCAGATTTCTATCAACATTCTCGAACCTGCCACAACTGTCAGATCTATGCTGACAACGTGCACGTACCTCCGGTTCCTCTAAGTTTCTTGACGACTCCTTGGCCCTTTGCTATGTGGGGGATCGACATGATTGGGGAAATCAAGCCAACAGCCTCTAATGGACACCACTTCATCTTGGTGGCCATTGACTATTTCACAAAGTGGGTTGAGGCGGCTTCTTTCGTTTCCGTTACCAAGAATATTGTCGCCCGGTTCATCAAATAGAATCTCATCTACCGGTACGATATCCCAGAGAGGATCATCACTGAAAATGGTACGAATTTCAACAACACTATGATCACCACACTGTGCTCACAATTCAAGACCCAGCACCACAATTCTTCCCCTTACCGGCCAAAGATGAATGGTGTTGTCGAAGCCGCAAATAAGAACATCAAAAAGATCATACAGAAAATGAAAGTCACGTATAAGGACTGGCATGAGATGCTACCATTCGCTCTCCACAGTTACCGTACCACAGCGCGCACATCAACCAGGGCAACATCTTACTCTCTGGTATACGGCAAGGAAGCTGTCTTGCCTATTAAGGTCCAGATCCCCTCTCTGAGAATTATGAAGGATGCAGAGTTGAATGAAGAAGATTGGATCCAAACTCGTCTTGATCAACTGAACTTGATTGATGAGGAAAGGCATACTGCTGTCTGTCATGGTCAAATGTATCAAAAACGGATGATCAAGGCTTTCAACAAAAAGTTCAGACGCCAAGTATATCAAGTCGAGGATTTGGTGATCAAGCGCATCATACTGCCGCAAGGTGATCCCAGGGGCAAATGGACTCCTACATACGAAGGACCATTTGTGATCAAAAGTATATTCTCTGGTGGAGCAATGATCTTAACCACTATGGATGGCGATGACCTTCCGCACCCTGTGAACGCAGACATAGTCAAAAGATACTACGCATAAGAGACCCGCTAGGTTGACATACCTAGGAAAAACAAGGGCATCTCGGCGAACCAAAAAGGTTCAGGAAAAAATTAGGGATAAAACAAAAAAATCTATACACCCGGCAAGTTGAAAACCCGAAAGGGAGACTTGGGCAAAAAGGGGTATCCCGGTGGACTGAAAACCCGAAAGGGCGGTCCGGGAAAAAGTTAGGGAATTAAAGCGTATGACTATGTCCCGTTGGATCACCTTTACAGACAACCTTTGGCTTCGACTGACAAATTCAGTGGTTCTGATCAATCCAATCAACTTCGGATAAGGCAGCAAGTGGACAAGATGCTCAGAGACACGAAGGTTGTAGCAGAATGGGAACCCCATGGGATTATTGCACATAGCTATCTTTTCTTTGTAATCAAATTTCAATTTTTTACGACGACATTCTCTTACTAGGATGTTCGTCTCATTGTACAAAATACTTATTCGAGTTAATACAAAGATACTCCTTTGAAAGTGCAAAACTATCTGTTTTTTCTTTAATTTCTGTGTTTTGTTTACAAAAAAGTCCAATGATTTATTTTTAAGCATATGCATTTGAACATAACTACTGTTTACAAATAAGCAAAAATAGAAGACAATCACTAATGGCTTTAAAGAATAGGATAATATATTTAGACTATTCCTTAAAATCCCCCATAGTGTGTAGCTTAATGATACCAAGCTCTCTCATATCCCCAGCGGAACAAGACTTACAGTTATCTCTCCCCAGCAAAGGTCGTCCAATTCCTCAGGATTCCCCAACAGAATTTCGCAAAGCCATACATGGCGTTTCCCTTACAACAAAGTTTATTCCTCTACCAAATGGAAGCTCATCAACTCGTCAGCACTTCAAAACATGAAGACTTACACTCCATGGCCCCAACAACAGTCAGGGATTTATTTTCCCTAATCCAACAATGTTACAACCGCATAGCTTATATGCCTATACATCGCATCCATACATCATGACATTGACAACACGAACGCATACAACATAATCTCATTCATTTTATTGAGAACATCAGTATGTAATACATTTCATACATCATGACATTGCATACAACTAATCTTTTATCTCTTCAGGAAAGATAAAGTTAGCATATGGCTATCATCAACGATTTGCAAAAAAATCAGAGATTGATACCTGAAACAAACCAGGACAATTATCTACACGACCAGCGGAAGCAATCCAGCATGGGTTCTTCTCATTCAACTTTCAGATACAGTTCAGATACACTCCAGACATCGACGCCATTCTGATACTCATTCAGATTCAGCTTTCAGATACAGTTCAGGTACGCTCCAGGCATGGATGCCATTCTGATACTCATTCAGATTCAGCTTTCAGATACATTTCAGATACACTCTAGACGCAGACGCCATTCTGATACTCATTTAGATTCAGCTTTCAGATACAGTTCAGATATGCTCCATACACGGACGCCATTCTGATACTCATTCAGATCCAGCTTTCAGATACAATTCAGATACGCTCCAGACATGGATGTCATTCTGATACTCATTCAGATTCAGCTTTCAGATACAGTACAAATACGCTCTAGATACGGATTCCATTCTGATATTTATTCGGATTCAACTTTCAGATACAGTATATATATGCTCCAGATACAGATGTCATTCTGATATTCATTCGGATTCAACTTTCAAATATAGTTCAGATACGCTCTAGACACGGATGTCATTCGTATACTCATTTAGTTTCAGCTTGCAGATACGGTTCAACAATCACTTTTGGATGGCATCTACAAGCCCATCTTTAAAAACTTTCCATCACCTCTCCAAATGGCATCTTTAAGCCCATTCCCTATACCATCAACCATAA